ACCTTTATTCAAGGTGGATAGAGAATGGGTGCATCCTTTTTATCATATCTAATATGTTTAAAATCTAAAGTAAACGATATCTTAGGTATTTAATACTTATATCATTGTTCAAATATTCAACTATTTTTCAAAGTGCTAATTGGAGGTCTTTGATTGCAAATTGCTTAATTAAAAATACGTATCTTTTCAAACTTGCTTTCACTGGGCAAGATGACAAGTATCATTTTTAACCATCAGCCTTCCTTCACTAAAACGATTAATCCAATCATTAATTGAATTTATAGGAACTCATTTATCTCAATAAACTGTGTACAAATTATTATATGATACTGTAGAGGGATTTCTAAGATATTACAATAAATTGTACAGTCGTTTGTTGAACGAGTTCGACTGAGACAACCATTTTTTGTCACAAGTGACCTAAATAAGGGCGTCATTTTCACATTGTGACGTCACAAACAAGGAGAGAAACTTTATTCAGCATATGCTGTTTATTGACCTTGTGTATGACTATGTGTGTACCAAATTTCATTCTAATCTGAATTGTGGTTTTGTAGATATAGAGATAGTTTGCGAACTTTTTGATCACCCCTCATATAGTCTAAAGTAAAATGACAGATAAAAGGGCCCATTAAGTATTGTTTAAGTGCACTTGTCCTTTGTTTCAATTATGACCAACCAGGAGAATAGATGACTTAAAGTGGATCATAGTAAAACAAAGGAATATAAAGGCTACCGGTCTTGTAGAGTAGTCTTTCCCCCTGGAAAATTGGCTCTAGAGTAGGATTTCCTCCCCGTAAAAATGGCTCTGAAGCATGATTATATCTACGGAAATCCCACACCAGAGTCAATGTTTGGAGGGAAATCCTGCTATAAATATAATTGCTGTACTTATGTTTTGAAGGAGAGGGAGACAGTACATTTTTACCAGTATCCCTTCTAAATGAAAATTCTGAATTTTTCTCACGAACTGTCAAACCATTTTTTAGGATCAAACGAATTGATGAAATCAGGGGGACTATAGGTTTACTCTTCGTCTGTCTGTCAGACTGTCTAGCTGTCCCTCTGTCTGACCCAAATGGTTTTCCGCACTTTTTTTTCTAAGCTGATTCTAGAAATGGGGTCTATAATTTTGCATTTTATTTCACTTAAATAATTTTTTATGGAATTACAACCTTTTCTATTGAGTAGGATTTTCTGCAATGTTTTCTTTTTTCTAAATGAATAAAGACATTGAGCTACTTTATGCTTAAACATCAATCTGAGGATATTTACATGAGCATTTCTGTGAAAAACTAATTATTTTGGTTGAGACTCCTTGATTTAAAATTTATGCTTTGAAAATTCGTACAACATAAACATGATAAATAGAAAAACACATTTATCATATAAATATCAGTTTGTTGTTAATTTTTCTTTTATACAAAAAATATTTTGCCTGTGGTTTATATTGACTCTATATATTAAAGAAGGGGGAAATCCTACTCTGAGAAAGAATGAGGGGAAAATTTGGTTCTGGTATGAGATTTGCCCGGGGAGTTGGGTTGGGGTGGGAATCTTATTCTAGAGTATGATTTGCAGGGGAAAAGCTGGGGAAATCCTACTCGACAACACTGGTATATCAATTAAAATTTTCATTCTATAAACAGCAAAGCCATTATGTATCATATATTAATTTAAAAGCATCTGTAAATCTGAACAATTGGCAACTTTGTTGAAGAATTTTAAACAAGTTTGTAATTTCTAATTCTTTGATACCTTTCTTTCAGAAACACCTCCTCAGCCTGGTCAACCAGTCATTTCACTCAAATCATGTGATGTTCCATTTCTACCACCAGAGACTGATGGGAACTCTGACATCATCAACTACAGAGTGGACTACAGGCAGTCAGGTGAGCCTGTTCTCCTTGTAGACTTTATCATATGAATGTAAGGAATGCATAACAAACTGAAACAGTCCTTACAATGTTTCCTCAGTCCTCATCACAATCAAACCAAAAGGGTAGAGTCTGTTTTATGAACAATGTAGGGGACAGTGAATTTAATAGCTACCCAAGTTATACTGGTATAACCGATGTTGGGGAAATTTACTTTTTATAAAGCGTGAAGCTGTTTTCAGGTGAGCTTCACCAAGGGGACTATAGGTTTATTCTTTGTCTGTCCGTCAGACTGTCCAGCTGTCCCTCTGTCTGTCCCAATTGGACTTTTTTTCTAATTATTTTAAGATATTAAGCTGATTCTAGGAATGGGGTCTATAATTTTGCATTTTATTTAACTTGAATAATTTTTCATGGAATCACAACCTTTTTATTTAATAGGATTTTCTGCAATGTTTTATGTTTTCTATTTAACTTGAATAATTTTTCATGGAATCACAACCTTTTTTTTTATTAGAATTTTCTGCAATGTTTTATGTTTTCTAAATGAATGGAGATATTGAGCTACTTTATGCTAAAACATCAATCTGAGGATATTTACATAGGCATTTCTTTGAAAAACTAATTATTTTGGTTAAGACTCATAGATTTAAAATTTATGCTTTGAAAATTCTTTCAACATACTAGTATATAGAAAAACACACTTATTATTTAAAAATCAGTTTGTTGTAAATTTTTTTTACAAAACATATGTTGGCTGTGGTTTATATTGACTCTATAAGAAGGGGGAAATCCTACTCTGAGAAAGAATGAGGGGGGAATTTGGTTCTGGTATGAGATGTGCCTGGGGATTGAGGGTGTAATCTTATTCTGGAGTTTGTTTTGTGGGGGGAAAAAGCTGGCTATAGGGGAACACTGGTATGCCAATAAAAATTTTCATCCTATGAATTTAAAAGCATCTGTAGATCTCAATAATTGGCAACTTTGGTGAAGAATTTTAAACAAGTGTGTAATTTCTAATACTTTGATATCTTTCTCTCAGAAATACCTCCTCAGCCTGGCCAACCAGTCATTTCACAGGAATCATGTGATGTCCCGTTACTACCAATAGAGAATGATGGGAACTCTGACAACATCAACTTTCCAGTGGACTACTCCAACTACAGGCAGTCAGGTGAGCCTGTTCTCCTTGTAGACTTTATCATATGAATGTAAGGAATGCATAACAAACTGAAACAGTCCTTACAATGTTTCCTCAGTCCTCATCACAACCAAACCAAAAGGGTAGAGTCTGTTTTATGAACAATGTAGGGTACAGTGAATTTAATAGCTACCCAAGTTATACTGGTATAACCGATATTGGGGAAATTTACTTTTTATAAAGCGTGAAGCTGTTTTCAGGTGAGCTTCACCAAGGGGACTATAGGTTTTTCTTTGTCTGTCCGTCAGACTGTCCAGCTGTCCCTCTGTCTGTCCCAATTGGTTTTCCACACTTTTTAGCTCACCTGAGCCGAAGGCTCAAGTGAGCTTTTCTGATCACATTTTGTCCGTCGTCCGTCCGTCCGTCTGTAAACTTTTCACATTTTCGACTTCTTCTCAAGAACCAATGGGCCAATTTTAACCAAACTTGGTACAAAGCATTCTTGGGTGAAGGGAAGTTTAAATTGTTAAAGGAAGGGCCAAATCCCCTTACAAGGGGAGATAATCAAGAAAACAGGGCCGTAACTACCATTGAGGCAACGGAGGCAATTGCCTCCTCTAGATTTTCATTTTTTTTTGGAAATAAGAAACACAACACGAGCAGCTGGATCAAGATTGATCATTTATTTGTTTGATTATAGCCACCTGAGCAATTTTTCAGCTATCCAGTGAGTGTCACCATTACCTATGCTCGGCGTTCAGGGCCTTTGAGCAGAGAGGGATCTTTATTGTGCCACAGCTGTGACACGGGGCTTCGGTTAACTTTATGCGGTCTCATCCGAAGGACCAGTCCCCATGTCCCATAGCGAAATTCGAACTACGGCGATCGATCATTTTAGAACTGCATTAAGTACAGTGAAAACTATTCAGAATGAATCCACGGGTACGATCTTCCCAGATACCCCTATTGACTTAAATAATTTTATCTTTTTCGTGGGAAAAGTCAGTTTCGTATTTATCATTGTTTATATTTACATTCAGAAGTTAAAATTCAATTGAAGCATCAGATGAGTATTGTGAGTTAACGTTAGTTGGTTGGTTATTGATTGTTTTACGTCCCGCTCAAGAATTTTTCACTTATATGCCATAATGGAGACGTCTCCATTGCCGGTAAAGGCCTGCAAAAGTTAGACCTATGCTCGGCGCTCAGGGCCTTTGAGCAGGAAGGGATCTTTATCGTGACACACCTGCTGTGACACAGGACCTCGGTTTTTTCCGTCTCATCCGAGGGACTGTCCCATTCAGTTGCTTCTTACAACACGCCATATAAGTGAAATATTCTTGAGCGGGACGTAAAATTATAAACAATCTTACAACATGCAAGGGACGATGAGGACCTACTCTAAGTAACTCAGATCATTACGGGTCCCCATTCAGTCGCCTTTTACGTCACACACTCCCCATTCAGTCGCCCCTTACGACACACAGTCTTCATTCAGTCGCCTTTTACGACACACAGTCTTCATTCAGTCGCCCCTTACGACACACAGTCCCCATTCAGTCGCCTTTTACGACAGGCAAGGGGAACAAAGGGTAGTCAGTGTATGATCCGTCCGTTTGTCTCTTTTAAAATTATATTTTCTGGGCTAGGTTTTTTCCACATAGGAAATTTTGCTATCATCATCAAAATAAATATGCCTCAGGTTGTGAACAAGCAGAATCTTCATTATTGTTGCTCAACCTAATCAACGTTTTGTTACATCGCAATGAATTGCCAGAAATATATATCTTGAATACGAAGTAAAAAAGTAACAGGGACGTACGATATCCTTGGGGGATTCCTCTTTATCATTCATATTTTGCAGTCGTGTAATTGTCGCTGAAAAAATCTTAAAAATCAATTGTCACAAAAACAACCATTATCACGGATAACGGAATTGCTTCTTTCCATTTAACAGTTAAGTGTATATCTTAGCAGTAAACATGTCGTTCAAACAGTCATCACTGACGACGTTTTTCAGTAGAAATGACCGCAACAAAGACAAAGAATCTCAAAGTCCTCCTGTTGATTCTTCGGCTATGGCAACTAACGTTCAGTCTGAGCAATCGGCATCTGTTTCGCAGATATCGTCGAGCTACAAACTTGACAAAGTTGATCCTATCAAACTCATCCACAAAACTCTGTTGGACGATGAACGCCAGCAAATTTTGGAACATAAATGGGTACCAGATAAGAAGTTTGAATATCCTCAAAATACTACAGGTAGATGCTATAGTAGTAAATGGGAAGATACACGACCGTGGCTACGATGTTCGCTTTCAGATGACAGCGCCTTTTGTGCGTATTGCATTGCATTTCCGGCTACAGTATCTGAGAAAAATCCAGAATTTATAACGGTTGGTTTTCGAGATTGGAAAAATGCTAAAGGAGAAACACGAGGTGCATTAGAAAGGCATGCCAAATCCGACAGGCACAAGACTGCTCAAGAGAAGAGCGAAATGTTTTTGATGACAGTTAAGGGAGAAAGTATTCCCGTGACCGAAAGTATAAGCAAGGCTTATCAGGAAAATGTTCAGAGGAACAGAGCTTGTTTAATGTCAGTTATAGATGTTGTTATACAGCTCGGACAGAGAAACATTCCTTTTCGCGGTAACTGGTCAAAAGAGCTAGGAAAAGAAGATGGTAACTTCCAATATTTTATTGATTGGAAAGCACAGTTTGATGATGTACTTAATGTACACCTATCTACTGCCAAACATAAATACCTTTCTCCGAAAGTTCAAAACGAATTCATTCGTATCTGTGAATTAGAAATACGAGAAGCTATCAGAAATCGGTGTGCAGAGTCGCAATTTTTTAGCATAATGGTCGACGAGACCACAGACGTGGCTGAAAAAGCACAACTGGCTATTTGTGTGAGATATGTAAATCTAGAAAAGAATAGCTACCAGGTTAACGAGGACTTTTTGGGATTCGTTGAAGTGGCGCAAACAGACTCAGAAACAGTCTGCAATACAGTTTTGCACAATCTTGGCGCGGAATGGGGATTCGACCTGACAAAGTTGCGTGGACAAGGTTATGATGGATGCGCAACGATGTCTAGTGAGGTTTCAGGGGTGCAAAAAAGAATCAAAGATGACTATCCGGAAGCAAAATACTTTGTTCATTGCAACTCGCACCGCCTGAACTTAGTTATAGTAAACACTTGTAATAAGGTGGTAGAGGCAAGAAACAATCTTACAATACTTGGTAAAATTACATGGTTTATATGTGGCGTGAGCAAACGCAAAGCTATCTTGATGAACGAGGTGAAAGAAGGAAGCAAAGAGTTGGATTTCGACCTTCTGTACGAAAATGAAGATGTCCTCTTTGAATCTGCGATGAGACAGAACATGATGCCGAAACCATCCGACACCCGATGGACTTCAAGGGTAGATACACTATCTTGGGTCCTAACGCATTATAAATCTCTCATCAGCGTTCTGGAAATCGTGCAGTCGAGATCTAAAGGCCAGGCTGCAGCTGATGCTTCATCATACCACGCCGTCTTACTGAAGTTCGATTTCATAGTTGTTGCAGTGATTCTGCAATACACTCTTGGATATATATACACCCCCTTTCAATTCTGCCACAGTCGGAGTCTTGCGACCTAGTGAAAGCCTTCCAAAAAGCTGGGGACTTACTTTCAATATTCGAGCGTATTCGAGCAGATTCGAACATCAAATTCCACGACCTTTATGAAAGAGCCGTATCGATTGCCCATGAAATTGAAGTTGAACCAACAAAACCCCGAAGCACACAAAGGCAACGACATAGGGCGAATGCCCAAATAGAAGGCATTGAAGAACACTACCGTGTCAATCATTTTCTACCTCATTGATCATATAATCGCATACTTAAATGAACGGTTTCCAGAGACACTGAAAGCAATGTTCTATGGGAACTATCTTGTATCGTCGTTGATCATACATCTGAATGAACAAATCATTACTGACATGAAAACCGAGTACCTGAATGACCTGCCTTCCCCAAATGACTTTGAACAAGAGGTGGAAAGATGGATTTTAAGGTGTAACAGGTCTAACTTGCCGGAGTCTGTAACAACTCTTACAGGTGCGTAACAGCATGCAGATACAGATTTGTATCCAAACATTCACGTCATCCTCAAGCTGCTCTTAACTCTACCAGTAGGTTCATGTTCTTGCGAGAGATCGTTCTCGGCACTCCGGCGGTTAAAGACATGGTGTAGAGCCACAATGACAGAAGATCGACTCTGTGGTTTGGCTATGCTCCATGTCCACCGGAACGATCAGGTCGGCCAGGTAAACGCAGAGTCCGTGTTAAGACGGTGGGACATGGGAGGAAGCAGAAAGATCCATCTTGCGTTCTCTGGTGATCAAAGCTAGACGATCACCGTTAAGCCTTCAGACAATATTGAAAATGGGAATTACGATTGAAATTTATTTGATCATATCTATCCAAAATAGTACATAAATAGGTAATATAATAAAGTGGTAAGCATTCTCGAAATCAAGGAAATGGTCCAAAATTGAGCCTTTTGAATTGAGGCCCCCAAACCCCCGCCTCCTCTATCTTTTACCCCTTGTTACGGCCCTGGAAAAGACAAAAATAGGGTAAATTGGTTCATTAAAAAATCTTCTTCTCAAGAACCACTGGCCCAGGAAAGATGAAACTTGTGGAAGCATCCTTGGGTAGTGTAGATATTAAATTGTTAAAATCATGACCCCCAGGGGTAGGACGGGGCCACAATAGGGAATCCAAGTTTTACATAGAAATATATTGAACAAATTTTTAAAAATCTTCTTCTAAAGAACCACTGGGCCAGGGAAGCTGAAACTTATGTGGAATCATCCTTGGATAGTGTACATATTAAATTGTTAAAATCATGACCCCTGGGGGTAGGGCGGGGCCACAATAGGGAATTCAAGTTTAACATAGAAATATAAAGAACACATCTTTAAAAAATCTTCTTCTCAAGAACCACTGAGCCAGGAATGCTGAAACTTATGTGGAAGCATCTCTGGGTAGTGTAGATATTAAATTTTAAAAATCATGTCCCCTGGGGGTAGGGTGGGGCCACAATAGGGAATCCAAGTTTTACATAGAAATATAAAGAACACATCTTTAAAAATCTTCTTCTCAAGAACCACTGGGCCAGGAAAGCTGAAACTTATGTGGAAGCATCCTTGGGTAATGTAGATATTAAATTGTGAAAAATCATGACCCCCGGGGGTAGGGCGGGCCACAATAGGGAATCCAAGTTTTACATAGAAATATATAGAACGCATCTTTGAAAATCTTCTTCTCAAGAACCACTGGGCCAGGAAAGCTGAAACTTAAGTGGAAGCATCCTTGGGTAGTGTAGATATTAAATTGTTAAAATCATGACCCCAGGGGTAGGGCGGGGCCACAATAGGGAATCCAAGTTTTACATAGATATACACTGTATTTAGGAGAAATCTTTTTAGAATCTTCTTCTCAAGAACCACTGAGTCAGGAAAGCTGAAACTTGTGTCGAAGCTTCCTTGGGTAGTGTAGATTCTAAAGTATTAAAATCATAAAAAGGAAGAGGGTAGTGGAGTATAATAGGTATAGCAAGAGGGGAACTCTGGTAAAGAACTGCATCACCCAAGTTACTCAGGTGAGCGATGTGGCCCATGGGCCTCTTGTTTTTCTAAATATTTGGAAGAAATTAAGCTGATTCTAGGAATGGGGTCTATAATTTTGCATTTTATTTCACTTGAATAATTTTTTATGGAATCGCAACCTTTTTAGCTCACCTGAGCTGAAAGCTCAAGTGAGCTTTTCTGATCACATTTGGTCCGGCGTCCGTCTGTCTGTCCAGCTGTCCGTCTGTCTGTAAACTTTTCACATTTTTGACTTCTCATCAAGAACCGCTGGGCCAGTTTCAACCAAACTTGCCACAAAGTATCCTTGGGTGAAGGGAATTCAAGTTTGTTCAAATGAAGGGCCACGACCTCATTCAAGGGGAGATAATTGGGAATTAATAAAAATTTGGTGGCAATATTTTAAAAATCTTCTTCTCAAGAACCACTTTGCCAGGAGAGATGAAACTTATGGGGAAACATTCTCAGGTAGTGTAGATTCAAGTTTGTTCAAATCATTATATCCCCCCGGGGGTAGGGCAGGGCCAAAATGGCAGACCAAAGTTTTACATTGAAATAAATAGGAAAATTCTTTAAAAATCTTCTTCTCAAGAATGACAAAGCCATAATTCATCATATATATATAGAAGCATGCTCCGGAGGTGTAGTTTCAAGTTTGTTCAAATCATGACCCCCGGGGGTAGGGCGGGGCCAAAATGGCCAACCAAAGTTTTACTTAGAAATATATAGAAAAATTCTTTAAACATCTTCTTCTCAAGAATGACAAAGCCATAATTCATCATATTTATATGGAAGCATGGTCAGGTAGTGTTGATTCAAGTTTTTTTAAATCATGACCCTCAGGGGTAGGGTGGGGCCAAAATGGCCAACCAAAGTTTTTAAACATATATATAGGAAAATTCTTTAAAAATCATTTTCTAAAATATATCAAATCCATGACTGGTCATGGGACTACTTTTGGATTTAAACTTTACAATAAAAAGCCATTTTCTCCTTTTTCTACCCTAAGTGCTCAGGTGAGCGATGTGGCCCATGGGCCTCTTGTTTATTAAATAGGATTTTCTGCAATGTTTTATGTTTTCTAAGTGAATGGAGATATTGAGCTACTTTATGCTAAAACATCAATCTGAGGATATTTACAAAGGCACTTCTTTTGAAAATCTAATTATTTTGGTTAAGACTCCTAGATTTAAAATTTATGCTTTGAAAATTCTTTCAACATACTAGTATATAGAAAAACACATTTATTATTTAAAAATTATTTAAAAAATTTTTTATACAAAACATATGTTGGCTGTGGTTTATATTGACTCTATAAGAAGGGGGAAATCCTACTCTGAGAAAGAATGAGGGGGGAATTTGGTTCTGGTATGAGATGTACCTGGGGATTGAGGGTGTAATCTTATTCTGGAGTTTGTGTTGTGGGGGGGGGGGGGGGGGAAGCTGGCTATAGGGGAACAATGGTATGCCAATAAAAATTTTCATCCTATAAACAGCAAAGCCATTATGTATCATATGAATTTAAAAGCATCTGTAGATCTCATAATTGGCAACTTTGGTGAAGAATTTAAACAAGGCCACACCAATAAAATTTCTTGTTCGTTGGACCTGCTCGCTCGTATTTTAGAGAAACGTAAAAAATAATATTATTTTCAATTTCCCGCTTCCGGAAATTTTCGTTCCATTTCCCGCCAGTTGAACCACAGTGCATGCAAGATGTAGGTAGAATCGTTTCCACCTCAGACAATTCTTGAACAGATTCTGTGTTTACATGTACTAACTCCAAGCTGTCGTGAATTAGCCAGAATATATTTAAACAATTTTGATACTTTATTTTAAAATATATACATGTCAACTCTTGAGAGTAGAAAGAATTAGTTTTGATTTTAATGATATTTTCTCATTTTATTACTGATAATCAACCTTGTTATTTTGCGTTCTATGCCAATTAAATTTATGATATATTTGTCAATTACTATATGAAATAATAAATTATCACTGCTGGCATTAATTGTAAATGATAAATAGTAATGAGACGTACTTGTCGACAGTTCTACAATGTCTTATTTTTTTAAAGTATAATTTGGGGCGATGTTCAGCTAATTCTGATATTGTGCATAAATACTGAAAAATAATGATAACAGTAGTGCTGTTATAATTGGTCAGTTTTATATGATTGTTCATTATAGTTTTGATCACATCACATTTTATTAATACTGTTTTCAAATATATGTAAAAGATGGAGGTCACACTTTTAAACAGTGATCAATGTACATGTATTAAACCAAGCAAATCTTGTACAGGACAAAAATATGGATTCCAGAAAACACAAAGGGTTTGGGGTGCATAGGAGAGTTAACATTCTATATTATTGGGAGATTTATTTACAGAATTTTGTACCTTTATGAAATGAGAAACCTGTATCAAATGCCCATATGATACTCTAAAAATTGGAATATTGAATGTTTTACATGATCAGGGCAATTGGAAAAGATTTGGTAATGATTTACTCTAGAAATGTAAAGGAAAATAAAAATTAAAAATCGCCCGCTCCGTTATTTTACTTCACCGCTTGGAAATTTTGTTGATAAAAATTTTAATATTATAATTATCAAATCGCTCGCTCGCCCCAACTTTTTGGGGTCAGCTGTCCGAAGAACAAGAAATTTTATTGGTGTGGCCCAAGTGTGTAATTTCTAATTCTTTGATATCTTTCTCTCAGAAACACCTCCTCAGCCAGGCCAACCAGTCATTTCACAGGAATCATGTGATGCCCCATTACTACCAATAGAGAATGATCGGAACTCTGACAACATCAACTTTCCAGTGGACTATTCCAACTACAGGCAGTCAGGTGAGCCTGTTCTCCTTGTAGACTTTATCATATGAATGTAAGGAATGCATAACAAACTGAAACAGTCCTTACAATGTTTCCTCAGTCCTCATCACAACCAAACCAAAAGGGTAGAGTCTGTTTTATGAACAATGTAGGGGACAGTGAATTTAATAGCTACCCAAGTTATACTGGTATAACCGATGTTGGGGAAATTTACTTTTTATAAAGAATGAACCTGTGTATAAAAAAGAGTTCATTGTAAACTGCTCCAAACCAGGTAATACCAGTATAACTTGAGTTGCCATTTAATTCATTCCTTATAATTTAATTTTCAGTCATTTAGTATGGAACACAAGACAATTTTGCCTGAAAATTGCCTTCATATTTCATAGTTTAATTGTAAGGTCAAGTAAATTGATGCGTTTTTGACTAAGTCATTGTGATTTAGGCAACCCATTTTATACAATATAAGTAAATTTTTTATCCCATCAAATAAAGCGTTACAACCAAAATTAAATTATTATAGTGTGTCCTCCGTCCTCAGTACAAACCAAACCAAAAGATCAGGGTAGGTTGAAAAAAGACAATAAATAGAGAAAAGTACAGTCAAACCATGTTATCTCAAACTTGATGGGACCAAGAAAAAAGTTGAGATGTCCAAGGATTCAAGATTTCATAAATATAATTAACCAGGAATTATGAATAAACTGTTGTAACTTCCAAATCACTTGGACATATTCATGGTTTTCATGATATCAGCAGTGTTCAACATACCAAAGTTAAAGTATAATTGTTTAAGGGAGTCAGTTAAATGGTAATGGAAATGGATCCAAACTTCATATGTTAAAGAATATGGCAAAATAAAATCAAAATCTATGAACAATTGATCGTCCTTTGAAAGTGCCTATTTAACCTGTTTTGAAAATCAAACCAAGTGAAAAATGAAGCGATTCATAACAGATTTACTCCTAGTAGAGAAAATCGTGGATAGTAATTTGGATATGTCACATTTGTTGTAGAGTTCTGATGAATCAGACTTTTAAAAGTATACTTGAGTATCAGAACTTTCCAGTTTGAATCAGAACTGATTTTAGTGAGTAATTAATTATTGAGATTTCAAATTGGCCAGCTAGGGCTTATCAAGGAAGAGGGTAAAGAGAAAGAAAATAACTGAAACTGTAAAATATGTCCACTATTCAGAAAGAAGGATATGGAGATAACGAACATTATTCAATTTCAAAGTCCATAAAACAATACAAAATTAAAGCAGAGCAAACACGGACCCCCGAAACATCAGACATGGGATCAGGTGCCATGGAGGAATGAGCATCCCCTGCCAACCAGTCACACCCGCCGTGTGCTCCTTGTCATGATCAGGAAATAATGGAAAAAATCCGTCTCAATTCAGTGTATAAATAATGGACTAACAATTGGTATGAAAAACTTCAGTCAGCAATTGACTCAATGATAAACAGTATTTGCTGACAAGGTCATTGTATCGACCATAGAACTTACGAAATGATGACTTTAAACGAGACTGCTGATATTCTTGTTTCTTCAACTTGCTTGTCAATAATTTACTTCGTTTTAAAAATTGTTCATATGTAGAGAATGCTCTTGCGTATCGAATCAACTGAGATATATATACTCCGTATGCAGGTGATGAAGGTATATTGCTGCATAAGTAAGGGAAGTTGTTGATAGAAAAGTTAAAGTCATCACGTTTATCATATAGCTTGGTTGTTAGATTACCATTAGTGTAAACAAATCAGTACTTTGAAATCATTACCCTCATGATTACCGGGTATATTTAAGGTTATCCGATCCTCAGGTTCTGAAAATCAGGCATTGAGTAATTGAAAATGCTCACAAAGATGTTTCTAAATTTGCAAATTAAAATGTATTTACCCACGGTGTTTCTTTAAAATTCATCTTTAAATTTAATCATATTAAATAGGGAAAATTAGTAAATCTCAAATAATTTTTCAGGGAATGCGATTTGAACTACCTACTGCATATTTTTCAATTGATAACTGATCAAGAAATACATTTTAGGAATAAATATCATAGGTATCCAGGCTTTTAAAGAAAATTGCATGAATTTTATACTTTTTTAGTACTTTACTTTCTCCTACTTACTTCCATCATTTAATAATGCATTGTGTATGAAGTGTTTCCTTTCAAAGAAAACACCGTAAATCACTTATAATTTCAAATCATGCTTATAAACATTGGAAACTAACAGGTCGGAGAGAATACTCAAAATCAAGTATTATCCGTGAAATCGCGCATAATACCCGATATTAGGGTATCGTTGAATCCGCGAAATCGGGTATTCCGTGCAACTTTCTAAAAAAAAAAACGAAAGAATAAAGCAACGGCGCATTATGCAAGTAACTGTTACTTGTACATCAGTATCTTGTGGATTTATTTTTATTAAACCTAATTAATATGGTTGTCAAATAAGTTAAAAATCACACGACAAACACTGCTGGGGTAACAAAGAGGACACAACGGCGTTATTATTTTTCAATAAAATCTCTAAAAACAAAAAAACTTCACTTCGTTTGTCTTTATTTCCCATTAAAGTATTCCATATACTTAATTTTCTTATTTGTGCACTATTCACAATATGTGAAACTTTAAAGAAATTAAACGACTAATGCCGTGTTATGTATTTTTACTGAAAAATGTATGGCGTCCCTTTCATGGAAATATGAATCAATCCTTACAGTTAGAGAATACAGTATAACCGAGTCATAATTGTATATCTCTGCCATAATAGAGTACCAACTTTATTATAAAGAGGAAAATAAAATAGATTAAATAAATACCCACAGAAAAACAGGTTGAAAATAGCTTATTGAATGTGAGTATCTTTTTTATGTCAATTTAGCATGGAAATTTCTATTCAAAAATACCGTAAATTTTTTGGTTGCATTTTAATTGATACAAGATATGCTTACTATTTTACCTTCATTTTATGCGTTTGTGTGAAAATTGTGTGAACAGGATTTTCTTGACTGTTTTTTTTTTTTGGGGGGGGGGGGTATAAATAAAAGTCAAATGTGTACATCTTTTCATGAGCGTAAAATACATGAATTTCTCAATATCGATCAAGTTACAGTCATATTCAAATATGAATTACATAGTCAAGGTTTCACATTTCTTACTTTTTGGGAATATAATTCCTCATCGGACACTAAAATTTCATGAAAATTGTAGCCACTTCCTTTCTTTATTATACTACGTGTATTTGAAAGACAGGGTAGATTTTACCTTCTGTTGTCTATTTTACACATTATTTTTATATCGCTATGTTAAAACCTCATTGTAATATGCTATACAACGCTCTATCTGATTGGTTCTAGACAATATGTCACAGTTTTCTTTTAGTTATTTTATCTGTGATACTTATTACTCATGGCAATAACTTTTTCCTAATACTCATCTAGTACAATGAAAAAATGTGTTAAAAACATACACCTGAATTGTAGTTACTTGTAGTATCATATTGTGTTAGAAAATAACAGGTTGCTTTTTGTTAACCTATATAATTTTTATTTGATAAATAAATCTTCCGTACAATTAAAAATATATAACCGAGTTTAACCGACAGTGACATTCAAAGACATATGGCAAAAAACTTTGCATTAACATTTAATTCAATGATTGCGAAAGGAGAGGTCTCTTGGACACATGCAGAACACAGTCGAGGTTGTTTTGTCAGAGGTAGTCAAGAAGCTTTTAGCCCCCCCCCACCCTTTGAAGTTGCCAAGTAATGGTAAAATATTGGTGGTGACTTGGCGAAATGAAACGATCAACATTTATGTTCTCTCATAAGCTGTATTCCTGTTACTATCACTGTCTCTGCTAATTGTTGAAGACATATTCTGCAAATATGTATGAATGATAAAAAAAAAAGATTTTCAAAAAAAAAAAAAAGAGAAAGAGGGTTTTTTAGCCGAAATCATTACATTATTTATACATTCATAAATAAATTTGATTTTATGCACAAGATGAATGTGAAAGTAATTAATGACGCATAATTAGATACGATAGACATTCCCTTGTTTATACATGGCATTACATCTTGTGTGTGAAATGTGTTTCCGTATAATTTGATATATTTACAAATTGTTCATGTTTGTCGTGTTGATGTGGAATTATTATAAATTCCCAAATTCTGATACTTTACAACTCTGTTGTGTTGGGAATGAACATTAGGAAGATGCATATACTTTCAACATTATGAAAAATATAAAGCAAATCGAACGCCTTTTTGTGTGCAGATCATGAAATGTACTGAGCTCCACGGGTATTTGTTGTCCTGAGCGCATTAATCTTGACGCTCATATTCTTACTTGGCTAGTGATACTGATAGAAAACATTTGTATCTAGATGGAAGTTAACTCGGCAACATGCGCCATCCCATTGTTTAAGTTTTATTAGATGATTACATCTCCAATACCCGATTTCGCGGATTCAACGATTCCGTAATATCGGGTATTATACGCGATTTCACGGATAATACCCGATTCCGAGTATTCTCTCCAACCTGACTAAGGCTAAATTAAAAGACATTTGATTTTTTTAAAATATGCAAGTTTTACTTAGTTTTATGAGGTACAAATGTCAACTTTTTAAATACCATTTGTTAAAACTTTAAAGAACATTGAATCATATGTAGAGGCATAAAATGAAAATTGTTGCATGAAAAAATTTCAATTTCAAGCTTTATTTTAAGACTTTTTGAATTAAATTATAAATTAAAGAGTTATCCTTCCTTGCTGAGGATCGTATATCCTTAATGTTGAAATATTTTATGAGTAAGTTCGAACATGCAAACTAATACTCCTTTGCAGTGAGTGGCAATATTTTCATTTCAGTATGATAGCCACCAAATACATCAATTGTAATGATTTATTTTCCTGAAAGAAGACAATATAAATAATATTATAAAATAGAATAGGGTAGGCATAAATGTACTTGAATTGTATATATTCTCAGGGAGAGGATGATTTAAGATTTTAGAACTTGTGCCCAATCCCATTGTTTATATTGAGTTCAATAAAATATATGTTCAAATCTTTGTTATATAACTCATTGGAATCATACTAAACCCATCCCCCTTTTTCCATTTCATGAGAGGTGTCTTCTTATATATATTTTAGCTCACCTGAGCCAAAGGTTCAAGTGAGCTTTTCTAGTCATCGTTGTTGGCATTGGTATTGTTGTCGTTAACTTTTCACATTTTCAACTTCTCAATAACCACTGGACAATTTCAACCAAACTTGCCACAGAGAATCCTTGGATAAAGGGGATTCTAGTGTATTCAAATGAAAGGCCACACCCTCTTTCAAGGGGAGATAACAATGAATTGGTGAAAATTATTGACATCTTTTAAAAATTTTCTTCTCAAGAACCACTGGGCCAGTGTGTTAAATGTAGTGTAGATTCAAGTTCGTACAAATCATGACTACTTGGTTGGATGGGCCAACAATGGGGAATAAAATTTTAACATTGGAATACATAGGAAAATCTTGAAATATCTTCTCGTCCAGAACCACTGGGACAGGAAAGATGAAACTCATGTGGAAGTATCTTCAGGTTGTGTAAATTCAAATTTGTTCAAATTATGACCCCCGGGGTAGGGTGGGATCACAATTGGGAATCAAAATTCAATGTAGTAATACATAGGAAAAATCTTCAAAAGTCTTCTTCTCAAGAGCAGCAAAGCCATGATCTGTCATAGTTATGTAGAAGAATCCTCTGGTAGTGTAGATTCAAGTTTGTTTTTATCATAATCCCTAGGGGAAGGGTAGGGCCACAATGTAGTATCAAAGTTTGACATAAGAATACATACTAGGAGAAATCTATAAAAGTTTTTTTTTCAAGAACAGCAAAGCCATGACTGGTTATAGTTGAATGAAAGCATTCTCTGCTAGTGTAGATTCAAGTTTGTTCAAACCATAATCCCCATGGTTAGAGTGTGGCCACAATAGGGGATCAAATTTTAACATAGGACTACATAGTAAAAATCTTTAAAAAATCTTCTCAAGAACCACTGGGCCTGAAAAGCTATAACTTATTTGGAAGCATCCTTGGGTAGTGTAAATTCTAATTGTAAAAACATGACCCATGGGGGTAGGATAGGGGCACAATTGGGGATCCAAGTTTTACATTGAAAATCTTTTTTCATAAGAACCACTGGGCCAGAAAATCTGAAACTCACATTGAAGCATCCTGGGGAAGTGTAAATTCTAAATTATTCAAATCATGACCCCAGGGTAGAGCGGGACACAATAGGCATTACAAAGGGGAAAATCTGGTCAAGAACAAAGTTGCTCCGGTGAGCGATGTTGCCCTAGCCCTCTTGTCTCGTCAACTATGATTGCAGATGTTTGAAATTTTAGCAATTGAAAGTCTATCATTTGATAAATCATGTGGTAGGATTCAAATTTGTATGAATGTGAGATCAATATGAGAAGATACATTCACATCAGAGTGGAGGTATTACTAATGAGTATTTGTTTACTGACTTCTTCTTGTTTTTGCAGAGATAACTCCTGGTAGTTCAGAGACAGATGTTAAGCAATGGTTGAAGGATGAAGTAGGATTAAATGACGATCTTTTGAAGAAGTATGATAGTACTTTTTCTATTTTGAACGGGCAAACATTATTTTCTTATGAACGAAGCTGCAAAGACTCCTTCGTTGAAGACACAAAATTACCTATCGGACTGGCAAGAAAAATATTAAGTTTTAGGGACAAAGTTTTCGAAAAAATATTGAATCCCCTTCTACGTTGGACAGCATTGGAGGTATCAGAAAGGATAAAAAGTTTTTTCCCGAAAAATAATGAGAGTGTAGGGCAACTTTGTCAATGTGTAGTTGATAGACATATTGATGGATATGTTTTTTACAGTTATGAAAATAAGGAACAACTACAAAATGACTTTCAAGATTTGAAGTTAAACGGATTGTATTTCAAAAGAATTATTTTAAAACGCAACAAATTTTACAAAAGATATTGTAATTCAAAAAATATTAACAACTTAAAACCTTGTGAGGAAAATACGGCAACTACCACATCAATATCATCAGGAGTGATTGAGAAAGAACATGGTAGTGACCCTGTTTTTTACCAGTCTAGTAACTTTGATCGTTCTGGCAGACCTACTGAGATTAACGATAAGGATCCCAACATTTTGTTTCGTTTAAATGCAATGAAGAAAGACAACTTAGAAGAAAAAATAAATAATCTAAAAACAAAAGTAATTCCAAATCATAAACAAGAGTTTGAAACTGGCAATAGACCTTGTTCAATAGATCTGTTAAAAAATGTGACAGAAAGATTTCCAGTTCAGGGGGCTTCCGAAAGTTCAAAATTACCGGAAAATAATATATCTGATGCAAAAGACAAAAATCTGGGAGACAACAAACTTAACAGATCTTACCCAACATCCTATAAAAAACAAAAATCACAACAAAATATAGCGTCATCTAAAAGAGAAAAAAAGGGAATCGGGATACAGCAAGTGGAGACCCAGACTCCAAGACAATTTAAAGGAAATTCTGATTTTGTCGTTTACCAGAAAGGAAAAATATTAAACCAACCAGAGAATGACGGAACGCTATCAAAAAGGTGTTTAGAATTCAAGTCTTTTTTCAATTTTGAAAATTCCTCAAAGGAATCGAGACTGATCAAATTCCAGTTGGAGGCATTAAAATTTGCTTGTGGTTGTCTCAATGCACGAAGAAATGGAACTATCATTTTTGGGGTTGCAGATTCTGTCAATAGCACATATAAGCATGGCGAAATCGTGGGTTTCGAAATAAGTGAGCATGAATTTGATAGCAAATCGAAATATACAGATGCTTTACGTGATGGGATTTCAAGATGTGTTTCCAGTGAAGTAGTGTCCATTGCTGGGAAATGTATATCCAATCCAAAATTTGTCAGAGTGGCTGTTCCTGATGAAAAAAATTACCGCTATGTAATCGAGGTAGATGTTGAACCAGCAGAATTATTGTGTGAAAAACACTATTTTAAAGTGAATTTAAAAAACATAAAAAACTGCTCAATTAAATCAGTAGAAGACAAGTATTTGATTTATGTTCGGAAAGGATCCTCAACACAATCCTATAAAAATGAAAATGAACAACTATTCATCTTAAAAGAATTGCAGGAAAATTTAATTGAAAGAAGTGTGTTTGAGAAAGAAGAGAAAGGTGAACAGGAAAATGAATTCTTGGCCACAAAATTGGAACGACTTCTCACGAGAGGTACATTCAGATTTAACAGGCAAAATAAGCAAATTCTTGTGCTTAGTAAACCTACGGATGAGCAAAAATTGAGTGAAGAGTGGAAACAAGCAATGTCTTTTATAAATTTTATGCAGGTGACAAGTGTATTTGATTTTGACGATTATTCAAATATAAATGGTTTGTGTGTTTTGTATCAAAATAAAGAGACCTGTGAGTTTGTAGAGAAATGTACTTTTAATGATTACGCTGGAAACTTTCAGGAACTTGCAATCAATCTAGACTTGCGTTGTTGTGAAAATGCGATGTGGATATTTGCAAATGGACGAAGTGATTGCAATGAAGATAAACCTCATTTGAACAGGACTGATTGGCACATGCACTCAGCTGGTATTTGTAATGCTGTCTCATTTCTTAGCCAACCATTTGTAATTCCTACAGGAGGATCTATTATATTAGTTCTTCTTTTTTCAAATGATTTTAACGGATTAATAGATACATTTAACGAAATGACAAGAAAGTTTGGTTGGGAGCCACTTGTAATCATTGCAGAAAACAAAAGAGTGTTTGAAGAATTTGCTGAAACTATACAGCGAGAATGTAAAGGCTCTATAGAGCAATTAGAGAAGGTGTCAGTTGTAGGGATGCTATGGGAACATGTGAACTGTACTATCAGATCAATAATGAGTTATGATGCAAAAATAAACTTTTCTTTGTCATCTTCATCAGGTGCTCTTGTTGAAGTTGATGAGAAGTTTATAAATGACTTATGCGACTTAAGTATTTTGAGCGCCACTGAGTGTAAAAACAGAACATTGAAGAACAGTGAAGACCGGCAACAATTTGGTGAAGATGAAGAATTACGATTTTACGAAGGCAATGTTGTTGGATGGTGGAATTTTTTTTCCCAGAACCATGTCTGTGAAAGATATCTATTCCATGCTCTACAAGAGAGAGTTCAGAATCTTCTCTATAATGCTAATAGAGATAAACAAAAGGTAGCAACACTAACTATTGCACACGAACCTGGAGCTGGAGCTACAACCGTTGCACACCAACTTTTATGGTATTTTCGACGGAAATACAGATGTTGCATAATTCCACAAATTTCAGATATCAGTAGCACAATATCTCAAATTTTTTCACTATGGCAGTACAAGGAATGGAACACAAGTGAATCCCATGGAAGACCTGTCATCCTCTTGTTGGATGATATTGAACAAACGGAACAATATTTAACCGAATTCACATTGCAACTTTCTAATGAATTTAGCCAAAAATCTTTGAACAAAAGAATGAACTGTCTATTAATTAGGTGTCAAAGAAAGGAAAAAAATGACTATGAATATAGAAATGAGAATTTTTTCTTTTTAGAACAGAAACTCGGGAAGCAAGAGAAGGAATGGTTCACAGCCAAGTTTTGTAAATTAGGGCCAACTGTAAGAGAATTAGTAAAAGAGTATAATCCACAACATTTGATATCTTTCCTGAGTATGCGTTCAAAATTCAATTTAGAATATATCAGAACAACCATCAAGCATTTAATCTCTACCGTTGACATTACATCAAACGAATTCAAGTTAATGAAGTACGTGTCTTTTCTTGCAACATATGCACCATTTACAAACTATGGAGGAAAAGGATTTGTTTCATTAGAATGTTGGAATGAGATATTTGAAAGTTTCGGCTTCAAAATTAAATTAGGAGGACTTCATCCATCATGTTCTCTACCTATTTTATTAATAATTGGGGAAAAGGAGGGTGCAAGTGAACAGGTTCGAATAGCACACCCAAAGCTTAGAAAAGTAATTCTTCAAGAAATAATGAATCATGAAAAAACACTGTTGTATGACATTGCAAAAGAATTTATCGAGTTTTCTCTTTCTCAAAGTACTTCAAATGGAAGAAAACCACTTCAAAATTTTACCTTTGACATCTTGGTGGAAAGGAAAAGAAATGAAAATAATAACAAAAAGATGACAGAATTTAGTCCTTTCATTGAGGATATAATCTGTGGATCAAAAGATAATTATTGGAAAGCTGAAAACTTGCTACAAATGGTAGCTAATAAACTCAGTAATCATGTGTTATTTCAACTCTTCGGAAGACTTTTTTTTAAATGGCAGAAATATGACAAGGCTATACAATGTGCCAAAAGAGCGGTTGACTTATTGAAATCGTCAACTTGTATTCCTCGCATGTACGACGATGCGTTGCATAAAAAATTAAGAGAGCTCGAAAAGGAGAAATTTTCTCAATCGGAAGATGCACAGGAACGCTTAAAACTGTTTTTTGATTATCTGGACATCGTTTTTCATGCTTCGAGTTCAAATTGCACACCGAAACCTTGGAACATTCATCCTATGTGAAAGATAGCAATAATGAGTTTTCCTTTGCAGAGTACTTCATATGGAAAAAAATACCTAGACAAAATTGCCCTCTACATCCTTATTCAACAGAAAAGGTTAAAAAAAAATGATGAAAATATGACATATTTCAGCCCTTGCGATATCTCAGTTTTTATGGAAGTTCTTATGTAACAATATCAACTTTCTTATTTTAATGGATTTAATTACAACCAAATACAAGAAATTAAAAAAAATTCTTGTATGTGCAAAAAGTATTTATTTCATTTAAGGGAAACGTATTATCGTGCAAAACGAGAAAGAATAGATTTAATGATTTATGCAAGCTTGAAGCCTTTCCTTTTTGGCCATATTTTGGAGGCTACCTATTTTGCCAAATTATATATGTTATGTAATAGTCACATACTGGGAGACCAATTGTTATTGCATAATTGTTTAATAATTTTTCTCAGGAATTGTGTTTTAAGGTTACGTTGTCTCCCAGTCTTCTTTATTCAGTTTTATGTACATGTATTATATTATATGTTGCCATTTCATAATAAATGACATATTTTTGGAAAAAACATGTCTTATGTTATTTGGCAAAAAACAAGCTCAATGTTGTCAGACGAGTGTTTAATTCAAGGAATGAAAGCTGAACTTAAATGATATTTTATGCTAGTAAAATTATTTTAAGTTTCATGTATTATATGTTAAATTGTAATTCCCACTTTGTGCCTCGTTATCTGTAAACCCGTGGGGACCCCCGGTAATTTTATCCTTTTGAGATAAGAGAACTAGCATCATTATATCTACTGCTATTGTAAAGACAAGACGGCCAAAGATTTGCCGAAATATTTTTTGGATTACCCACCCCCAAACAGACTTTAACTGTACATTAGGCCAACTTAAACTCATATGTCTATGATTTCATTGTTGTTTAATTCCTTTTTAGCTCACCTGGGCCGAAGGCTCAGGTGAGCTTTTCTGATCAAAAGTTGTCTGTTGTCTGTCGTTGTAGTCGTTGTTGTCGGCGTCGTCGTAACTTTTCATCTTCTTCTCAAGAACCGCTGGGCCAATTTCAACCAAACTTGCTGCAAAGTAACTTGGGTAAAGGGGATTAAAGTTTGTTCAAATGAAGGGCAAGAGGAGATAATAATGAATTAGAGAAAAATTAATGGCATCTTTTAAAAATCTTCTTCTTCAGAACCATTGGGCCAGGAAAGATAAAACTCATGTGAAAGCATCCTCAGGTAGTGTAGATTCAAGTTTGTTCAAATCATGACCCCCGGGGGTAGGCCGATCACAGGTTAACATAGGAATATAAAGGAAAAATCTTTAAAAATCTTCTTCTCCAGAACCACTGGGCCTGGAAAGATGAAACTCATTTGAAAGCATCCTCAGGTAGTGTAGATCCAAGTTTGTTCAAATCATGACCCCCAGGGATAGGGCTGGGTCACAACTGACAATCAAAGATTTACATAGGAAAATATAGAAAAAAATCTTTGAAAATCTTTTTCTCAAGAACCATGCACTCAGCTGGGCCAGGAAAGATGACACTTATGTGAAAACATCCTCAGGTAGTGTACGAGTAGATTCAAGTTTGTTCAAATCATGATCCCCAGGGGTAGGGCTGGGCCACAATGGATGATTAAAGTTTTCCATAGGAAGGAATATATCGGAATTTTTTAAAAACTCTTCTTTTTAAGAACCACAAAGCCATGATTGGTCACATCTTTATGTAAGCATCCTCACGTAGTGTTGATTTAAGTAAAGTCATGAACGGGAAGTAGGGGTTGGGTACGGTGGTACACAATTGGGGAAAAGTTTTGCCTAGAAATATCAAGGAATTTTTTTATGTGTAATCATATTAATATGGAGGCTTTCTCAGTTAGTACAAAGTCATATACTGGTTTAAATGAGGGCTGGTAGTTTAAAATTCCAGACCCCCCCCCCCCCTATGTAAACTCAATACTGAAGTGATTTCTGCTTTATTTCCTAGCCAATGTGCTCAGGTGAGCGACGTGGCACATGGGCCTCTTGTTATATGTATATTATATTGTGTGGTCATATCCTATTCAAGCTAAATAATGGAATTTTGAGCCAATTGATATCTATAAGGCTGTCTTTTGGAGGCCACCTATTTTGCCAAATTATAGATGTTATGCAATAGTCACATACTGCGAGACCAATTGTTATTGCATAATTGTTTTATTTTTTTCTCAGGAATTGTGTTTTCATGTTACATTGTCTCCCAGTCTTTTTTATTATGTTTTATGTATTTTAAATATATTGTATGCTATCATTTATAATAAATGACATATTTTGGAACAAACATGTCTTATTCTTATGTAATTTGGCCAAAAAAAACAAAAAACAAGCTCAATGTTGTCAGACGAGTGTTTAATTCAAGGAATGAAAGCTGAACTTGATATCTTGCAAAACGAGAAAGAGTAGATTTGATGATTTATGCTGAGTTGGAAAAAGCTACAAAACTGTAGCCCTCTGTTTGAGAAATTCGGAGAGTTAGAGAGCAGAGAGCTACAGATCTTAAATTTTCTGTATAATATCATAACATATCAGGCGCGGATCAAGAATTTTTTCAAAAGGGGGGGGGGGTGAAGAGGAAAAGAGTTATTTTATGTACATGTATACAATTAACAGCTTTTTAAAAAGCTTGCCTGACTAAATCAATCAATATCTGCATGAGGAGTGATCAGCCTTTTGATTAAAACTTTATATTTTGAAAACCTTGTTTGAATGAAATTCTTGATTTTATTTAACTTACAGAAGAATCTCATCTCTACACTGCATACTAAGGAGTTTTTATTCTGAGTTTTTTCTTTCTTTTATTTGGGGTGGGGGGTGGGGGTCTGTCCTTGGATGTAAATTAAAAGCAACATTACACCTATTATTATATAATATTTGTAATGAAATCATGCATTGTGAACATTTCAAAAGATGTGCCGGTATATAATTAAAAATACACACTTTGTCGGAGACCGAGTGTATTTATTCCACTAAATAAACTTATTATTCCACTAAATAAACTTATTCCACTTATAAAAAGGAGAGGGGTGTGTGTGCCACTATCATATATTGAGAATGAAATAAGAAAGTTCAATATTTAGGCCTTTGTGGTAAGAAAAATCAAGGATTTTTTTTACTGGTTTCTTATCTATTGTGTGGTTCATACTATCTATTCCCACTTTTTGAAAATTAATCAAGATATGAAAGGCTTATTCTTGTAAAACCCTTTCCTTTGTTATTTTCTCAAATCCATTAATTTATAAATAAATGAAATAATTCATATCTTTCATAAATTTATTCGTTATTATTTTCTTAAAATGTACAAAATACAGATAAACCTAAGAGGGAACGTATTAAGTCTAATTACTGTAAAACAAATTCACTATTTCAACATCCATTGTTATTTGCAAGTGGGATTAGGTGGAAGTGAATTTTTTTTAAAAAGTGGGAATAGGATATTGTGTGCATCTGAAACGGGGATACAAATGTTCATGCATCCGGAGACCATAACTTGTTGAACTGTGTTGTGTATTATTAGACTAGTCCATTTATGTAATAAACAACCGCGGAACCGGGAAACAAATTAGAAAAAAAAATCATTTCTTTAGTGTTACTTATACTGATATATACAATATGTTATTAAGATAAAATATAATGCAATTAATGTGTTTGAATTAAAGAGACTTTTGTAAGTTTATAGTTTTATTGAAAAGTCACAGCAAAGGTAACAAACAATGGCACATAAAAAGTTCAATTATAAAGATATCGGAGCCAAGATGGTGAAAGCTACTGATACTCAGTGTACACAACTTTTATAAGTGGGGAATTACATATTTGGTCACAACAATTAGTTAATAGAAGAATCACTTCATTAACACTGATATAGTCCGCCCCTCACTAAAGTTCTCTTGAACTTCCCCATCTCCTTATAGGATACAACAATGTCCTTTATTTATGTGGACAGCGGAGAACTTGCACATTCCTTAGTAAATTAAATCGGTGCATCATCCTCATAAGTCTGATTGGAAAGTGTCAAAGTTGGTGCACAACACATCA